TATCTTATTAATATCTTCTTTATATCTTTTTAAAGATTAACTAATCTTCTTTATGATAAATGGATATTTTTATCTGGTATTAAACCAATATATAATATATTTTACTAAAATTGTCAGCCTATCAGCTTTTTTTATACCTAATCAATCAGTTCATAGCTAACAGCCTATCAGCCTACTATCACCATAGATGATATTAGATGATATGATGTTGATATTTTTGATTTTGACCTGTGTTAAATATAATAAAAAACCTTATTATAGTCACAAATTACTTATAATCACTATTATATTAAAATTTAATTTTTTAAATTAAATTTATTAATAAAAAATTTTTTCATAATTACTAATTTATTAATTAATAATTTATTAATCAATCAGAGAAATTATATCTAGGAATTAGAGTTTTTGAAATATGAAATATCTATATTTAAAGTTTTTTTGTATTAAGTTAACCATCTTTAAATTTCTAAATAAAGTTGTAGAACTCATTAAGACAAATCTAATAGTAATTAAATTATCAAAATTGATTTAGTATATTATGAGATATTTTTGAACAATATTTTGTCAACTATATAAAATTCTATATAAACAATAGTAAAATTTTATATAGTTAGCAAAACATTTTTTGAAGATATTTTGTAATATACTAGACCAATTTTGATGTTTTAATTACTATTAGATTTATCTTAAAAAGCTCTACAACTTTACTTAGATTAGTTTAAACTACAAATAAAATAGTCTGAGTTTCTTTTCTTGCTATCTTAGAATATAAAGTTTAAATAGATTCTTTTCTTTAAAAGGAGTTATATATTCTTTTTTTTATAAAAGAGTTATATATTCATTTTGCTATAGAAGAATTAAATTAAATTTTAATAAAGTTAGAAACATGATCTCACTATTAATATTTAAAAAAAACAACTTTATTTAGAGACTTATATATAGTTAACTTAGTACAAAAAACTTTCAGATATAGAACAATTTTACTGAAACTTAGCATTTTGTAACAAATTTGTAAATAAGTAATTAATAATTAGTTACATAATTGTTATGAATTTGTTATGATTAATTTTCTTAATATATAAATACTATATTATTTTAATATTATATCTAAATTATAAATAAACTATATAAAATTTGTAATTATATTGCTACAACTTCATGCTAAAAAGTTGTAACAATTTAAAAGTAAAATTGTAATAACATTATGTAGATATTGTTTTAAGTTTGTAATATTTTCGCAAATAAATTTAGATACATATTTTAAACAAATGCAGAATCAATCATATAGATATTAAATAGCGATTAAGTAGTAATGTATAAAAATTAAGTTATTCGGGTAATCATATAGCAACAATTTCTACTCGGGTCCAATCCCTATGCTATATCTATTAGATACAGAAAATGATTAAAACCAGATGCATCATATGACTAATTAAGTTAATTAAGATTAAAGATCAATATAGGCTTCTCTGACATTTTACTTAATGCACCACGATATTCATTGCTTGTATTTGTGGTTTTCAATTTCTTTGCTTCATTGGGTGATTTTAAAACAGAAAATTTCATGTTGTACCTGGCTTTAGCCTACCCTATATATGGTATATATACATGATAACGATAGAGTATACGTAGAGTATATATCATATATAGTGTAGAAGCATTAGTGAAATTAGATAATAATGAAAATATATATAGACTTGATGCTTTACCTTGAACAAAGACAACTCGAGTAATTTGAATAAATCTAATATCACAATTAAAGTTCAACTATTAGTTTTTAACTTAAGATCTAATACTCAAAGTGTCTCACTCTAATAATTTTTCAATTGGTTAATAATCTAATTGCCATAATCTTGTGATCCTGAATTAGAGCTTCGTGACATAAGCTATAGCTTTATTCCAATACCAAAATTACTCGACCAAGTATTTCTATGCCTCAGTTAAAATTATTCTATTATTTTAGTATAGTTATCCCTACTTTGACCTATATAATATTCTGGAGCTATTTTTTTACTTTTTCACCAGATAAAATCTTGAAATTTGGATTTAAAAAACTTACAATATAAGATTACACAATTCATATAAGTGTTAATCTTTAAAACTTGCATCAATTATTTAATAATTAATGAACAACTTACTCTAACAATCGAGAGGACTTTCTTTATAATTAAAGTCTTGGGAGTAACTATACTAAATAATTTTCATAATCTTACAAAACTACTATCGTTGCTATTAAATTTTGGTCTACTGTCCACGTAGTAAAACTATGTAAATGTAAGCTACTATTTTTATATCAGAAATGTAGTAAAATGAAGTGTATAGTTTACAGACAAGTTCTGTGTTCAATATCTCGAATTCTATTAGAAATTTTCTTTCAGAGCTTAAATTTTATAAAATTATGGTAATTTTTAATTCAAATATTTTGACTTACGGGTTTACGAAAATTTAATGAAAATATTTCAGTACAATAAAATATTTGATACAAACCTTAGAGTTTATTAAAATAGTTCAGTTTTTATTAATAAATTTTGGTTAAGATCCTAAGCCACTTTGGTGTATAAATTTGCAAAACCTAAATTTAACTTAATATTTTATGCATAATAAAAAAACAAATTACTTTTTTTGAGCACATAAATCCCAATTTTAGGCAGAAGATAACCAAATATGATGAAACAATGCTACGTACTAGCTTTACTATTAGAGATATGCCATTTATATGATGCTTGAATTTTTTTTCACATTCAGTTTGTACAGTATGTGCAGTATATATGGTGCCTAGCTAATCATTTAATTGGCTAGTAGAAAGAATCACAAAATTTTCGCATACAGTATATACAGTACGTGGCATATCTCTATGTCTATCCACATTAGAAACACAGAAATTTATTATAAAATGTAATCAATATTGCTATTCACCTGTTTCCAAGTACTTCGAAGTTTATAGCCTGAATTTAAATTTGATATATCTTTAAATCTATTAATAATCAGAAAATAGCTTTATTGATCACAAATTTTGTACTATTAGCCTTAAACATCAGCGTAGTAAATATTGTAATTCTATACAAATATTTTAAATAAATCAAACTAAACACAGTATTTCACAATAATTTGTCTTAATTATGTATATTGCTTAACAATATTTTCTATTTGTACACTATTCTAAATTAACAAAGTAATATTAAAATATTCATGTTGAATGGTACACTTTGAATATTATTTAATGTATCATGTGATTTCGCGAACATGTTCGCGGTAATTGAATTATAAGAGCAATAGTTTGCATAGGAGATATTAACATGGATCCAATACTTTGATGCAATAAAATTACACAAAATGTTACCTTATAGAGTTGCTTAGTCACGTAATCTAAAAATGATAAAAATTTACATGAATTATTCATTTTAGAAAGCGCTAGATAGCAGAATTTTTTTGTAAGTTTTTTAAAACTTATATAAATCTATTATTTCTTGATATTTTAATTTATATTTGTGAAATTAGATATATTATTGCATTAAGTATATAAATCAAACAATTACCAAATATATAAGCAATGATAGCAGTGATTACTATAAAATGCAATATACTGAAGGAATCATAGAAATAATATTATAAATATAAATTGCTAGCAAAGTTTTTCCCATTTCAAGATGGTACTGCAATGTGTTTTGTTAATTTATCCAAAGTTTTTGTCTTTTCAATGTCACTTGACAAATAATTAATAGCGGACCATGCTGAATAAGCTTGCATAAATAATACATAGAATTTTGTGCCTTTAATTTGTCTATATTAGTGGCAGTTAACCATCTACT